TGATTTGATTAGATATAAAATTAAATATATAATATAATATAATATAATATAATATAATATAATATAATATAATATAATAATATAATCGCAGATCAATGTTTCATTTTCAACAATATTTAAAAAATATTTTATATTTGAATTTATATTAATATAATAATATATATATATAATATAAATTCAAATATAAAAATTAAAATATTTTTAAAATATTGTTGAAAATGAAACATTGATCTGCGATTTATCGACGCGCCGATAATTGTGATCATTAAATGCCATAGGACAGGTTAACGTGAAAAGGGTACTAATTACCATCGAAGGATTCCGGTTAAAGGATCGGTGGATTTCGCAATTAACTGTATGAAAGCAACGGCAATAACGAAAGTATGGAACAAATATTTGCCGTGCGCGGAGCGCGTCTCTTTCTTCTCGCTTCTACTTGCTTATTGTTCCGTATTAACAGGTGGGATTATCATCCCGAAAGCCGGCCTCATTGTTCCCAGCTGCCGAGTATTTGGGTTTCATATTTTCCGGTCTTGTTTTCTTTTTTCTGCATACGAACCGCGCGCCGCACCAGGACTACGTCATCCGGATCGATCGACGCATCATTTATTAACGGATCAGCCGTAATCGGGAATATTCATTATCCTTCCGATATTCTGTCGTGTTAATAATGCACGCCGGTCCATTTTCTCGTTGGTCCGTGCCGGTCTCAACGACGCGCTGTTTTATTCACTCTTGCGGTTTTAGTGCGCGCCTGTCTTGCCCGGCAAGCACGTCACAAGATTAACGAAAATAAAATTGGAAACGTTTTGCCGGAGTCCGGCCGGCATCCTCTAGAGGAGGCAGAGTTGCAGGAGACTGACCGATGGTCCCGTTCGTGAATGTTTAACGCCTTCGCACTAATGCAGGACGCGCGATAATAAAATTAATATACGGTGGAAAAATTGGTAACATTGAAGCATTCGATGCTTAGGCCGATGAAGAGTTACAGTAAATTCTTTCTAATTTTCCTTCGACTTGTAAACAAAAATGGGCAATTTGGGAAGCGGAGATACGATTATTCGAGCATCGCAGCTGATTTTCATAGTTGCCGATCGCCAACAATTATAGAAACGAGCTGCAAGGCTCGAATAATTGCCAAATTGTCCATTTTCATACACGATCTGAGCGCCATTTAGGCAAAATTTACTGTACCTCCTTATTGAATGGTCTACTAGGTAACGTAATTTTTTTATTTCATGAAAAGTGGAGACATAGTTTAGGGTCTTTCCGGGAATGAAAGGCAAAGTAAGAGTTACAGTAAATTCTCCCTAATTCTCCTTCGACTTGTAAACAAAAATGGGCGATTTGGGAAGCGGAGATACGATTATTCGAACCTCGCGGCTCATTTTTATAGTTGCCGATCGCCAACAATTATAGAAACGAGCTGCAAGGCTCGAATAATTGCCAAATTGTCCATTTTCGCGTACAATCTGAGTACCATTTAGGCAAAATTTACTGTACCTCATTATCGAACGGTCTACTAGATAACGTAGTTTTTTTGTTTCATGGAAAGTGGAGACATGGTGTATAGTCTTTCCGAGAATGAAAGGCAAAGTGATCAACAGCGAGGGTCGTAAAATATTGAAGAAATGGGACGGATGTTAGCATAGTGTTTGGAACTGCGTGGATAGCTTCGAGTGACTTGTGTTTACTTCTGAGATTCCTGGAAGTCCTGCGCAGCCGAAAGAGAGAGCGTGAGCGAGTGAGAGAGCGAGTGAGAGGGAGAGGGAAAGAGAATAAATAATAGCCAGACGGAACGTATGCAAGAGGGATGACGGCAGGGTGGGGGAATGGTAAGAAAATGCAATAAAGAGAAAAAGGAAAGAAAGAGAGAAGATTTGAAGTATGGAAAATCTGATTGAGAAAGTCGGAGAAAGTCGGTGAAAGTCGGGGAAAGTCATACGTTATCGTTATCGTTGTCTTTATTCAAGAAAAGTTGTAGCGTTGTGGAGACTCGTTGTGTTATCTTTTTGTCAATAAATTATCATCGTCATTGTTATTTAAATGGTGTGTCGTTCGTTTCGCTCCTGTGACCCGTAGAATTTTCTTAAAATAATCCCTACAGTGGGTAAAATAAAATGGCGTACAAAGTATTTGATTTTAACGTGACTATAAATAAATGTCTTAAATGTCGTTGAACATTATGCGCGCGCGTTACGGGAGCTCGTAGCTGTCACGGGTTAGTCACTTAAGGGATTAATGGAGGACGAAGTAAGTAGGTAAGATAATTTAATGTCAAATTGCGGCAGCGGGGGTGACGAGGGTGTATGTGGAAATTATAGGACCCGCAGGAACAGGATTAAAAGAGGAGGACAGCTCGAGCAATTTAGAACAACACGGGGCTTAGAACAACAATAGGGGTTGAAGGCCGGTCTAATTGGTAGACGTAACATGTCGGCCAGGGTGTAAAAAATTATAGCACCTGCGGAGTCCGAATTACCGAAAAAGGCTGGTACGCGTTGTTGTTGCGCAATGGGTGGGCCGAATAAAATTGCGTTTACAGCCTACGAACAAATTGTGGAAGTGGGTCAGCGAAATTAACAGAAATAAAAGCGAAATAGACTTGATACGATTAAGCGGCCCTGTCAGCCAATATGAATTAAAGAGATAGGAAATGACCGGCCAGAAAGTTTGAGTACGTAAGTGAACAGAATTAACTCGAACATTTCACAGTTTACGGAACAGTAAATTCTTCCTAATTTTTCTTCAGCTTGTAAATGAAAATGGACAGTTTGGGAAGAGGTGGTACGATTATTCGAGCCTTGCACCTCGTTTTTATAATCGTTATAATCGTGTAATAATCGTATCTTCTCTTCCCAGATTGTCCATTTTTGTTTACAAGTCGCAGGAAAATTAGGGAGAATTTTGCTGTACTTCCATTTTATGTGACCTATTGTATCGGATACGATAAATACGGTAAATACGGCAAATGCGATAAATACGTTAAATGCGATAAATAAAAAACACAATAAATACAATAAATAGAATAAATACAATAAATAGAATAAATGCAATAAATACAATAAATGCAATAAATGCAGTAAATACAATAAATACAATAAATGCAATAAATACAATAAATGCAATGAATGCAGTAAATGCAATAAATACAATAAATACAATAAATACACAAATATGTACGCAGTTAAGGACAGCATAGTCGAAGGTCTTTTTCGAGGCCGCCTTTTATGATTGCACGAACACAGTTCGTGGAATTGCGGATGCTTGTATAGCGTTTCGTGGTACCGATGCATCGGGAGTGGAAACTGCGAATACTTGAGAAACACGCTGCAGTCGTCCCGCCACGGCATTACAATGCGTCTGCATTTATTATTTAGCAGAGCGCGTTGCGTAATAATGGAGTCTTGGACGCAGCTTACGTAAGCGCCAACTCCCGCCTGCATACTGCATTTCGCTGCAGTGCATCGCGCCGCGCCGCGCCACGCCACGCCACGCCACGCCGCGTACCCAGCCGGAGAGACAGCCGACCGGGCAAAGGTGTGCGCGGCTGTGCGTGAATTCGAGCGCTATAATGCTTTTTACACAGCGCTTTCGCGTTTCTCCATTTTTCATTACAGCCAGTAGTTTTTCAGAGTCGAGTCCGTCCCGATCGATCTTACGATGCGACGCGCGCGCGACGAAACGTCGATTTCCGTCTGCCCTTTGAACCTCGGAAGTTAATTCTGGCCGGGCGAAACAAGATATTTGCCAGCAAATTTCCATGGTTAAATTTGTCATTTCTCGGAATCGGTACCCACGGTCGGGGCCCGCTTTGTGCGCGAACGATCGATCGAATTTCTTTCGCCTTTGAAACGGCGCGAGCATTTCCGACCGAGCGAGTCTCTGGTGTTAATAAAAAAAAAAAGAGAGGGGTTTTTATCTGTACCATTTTACCAGCCAATAGACCCAATAGACTGTCGGATTTAATTACCTTGTAATTACCGAGGTTTTCGACGACACAGGGTAGGCTGACGTCTCTCCCCACTGGCACGGTGACGTTCGGTATTGGCTCGGCAAACATCGGTTGATCCGACAGCGCTGCAATCAAACGAGACTTTGTTAGCGTCTAATTTTCTAATACCGATCGGGAGGTGCATCGAATCGGGAGATGCGACGCGAAAAAAAAATTAATGCGTTCTCTATTTTCTTTGCTCTTCCGTGCTGACATAATAATAGGAATAGTAATTTCTTTCTTTTCATTCGTGTGTACAGGTAAAGAAACCTTTGTTATGAAAAAGGAGGTGAGAGAAAGAAATTTTGCATAGTCGTCACACGAATACAGTACCAATGAACATAAAAGTATGTACATGATAATGCAATTCTCTCTTTCTCGTTATTCCTTCTTCTGTAACAGAGAGCTTTTTATTGGAATA